TTTCTTAGGACTTTGCTGCAGTGTGGTAGAGAAGTGCTTAAAATTGTTTATAAAACATGCTGCAAAGGGTTTTTTGGTATGAGAAATCCGTTTCTTTACTTATCGTTTTCTTAAAACTTCCACCAGAGGGCGCAACAGTGAACATTTTCACTTTTCTTCTAAACCTATTTTCAAAATTTGGCAAACTCCAAATTTATTTAAGACACACACATGTTTTCTTCGGCAAAGTTGCTTAGAATTACAAGTAGAATTCTCCTCTGCTATATGCGCATAGTCAAAAACATTGACCCGCCCTAATGTACCTACGTGTATTAATATGTTCAGACTCAGTATTTAAGTACATACATACATATGTACCCAACAAGAAATATTGCCAATGTAGAAAATATGCTTGTCCTCTCAGGTATGAAAACGTTTCTTCATCTTTAATTTTTTTATTAATTTTTTTTTTGGTAACTCTTTTTTTTTATTAAATATGAGCTTAGTTATAAGTTAAAGTTCTCCCTTTGTCATGTGAAAACAATCAAACGCCTGTTTACAAAGTTCTAAGGAAAGGTTGGATGTCAAGAAGATACTTAAGAAAATAAAAGGTGATCACGCTGAACTTGCAGCCAATGCAGCTGACGTCAGCGTTTTGGTTTTTTAACAAATTTTAACAAAAATTTGCCCCGTCTTTTTCTGAAAGGTAAATAAAAGCTCTGTGTACATTTTTAGCGCATAATTTCAAAAGTGCCAAATTTTGAGTTGTGCCTCTTTGGAAGACGGTGTGAGATATTTGTAAGCGGTAATCTATTATTATTATTAATGTTTGTACAGAAGTATGCAGAACCTCAACTCGGTTGACTTTACTACTGAAATCTGTATACAATTTATTTCTTTCCTACAGAGAACTACTTTCCACTTCTATGTATGTATGTATGTATATCTTCGAATAAAAATTAAAAATACGCATGTCTGTGATTATTTAATTAACCACAGTTGACAGTTGAGGTGTCAAGCGTGACGTTGAATCGCGCTGATCGACGAGACAAGCGGGTTTGCCGAGGAAACAGCTTAAAGAAATTGCTGTACTGCATAAGTTTTCTAATCGAAAATGAAAGTTTTACTTAACTTTTGCTAGTTTGGGTGTTTTTTGATGGTTGTTGTTGTTTTTTTTTTCTACTGGTAGCAAACTGCAATTTGTTGCTGGTTTATACTTTAAATACTGTATCTTGTTTTGCTCTTTGGGTAAAATCAAATCAAACTGACTGTGCTGGCAATCGCTTAAAATAAGATCTTCAATTAGGTACACACATACATACATATGTATGAACATATGTATATATTTTAAGTATAAAATATGTGTTAAACCTATTTGACGGGATTAAGCTACTGGCTGTCATATGCAGAGTTGCATATGAAAATTTCCTTATTGCAAAACGAATGCCAAAGTTATGGTTTAATCCTTTGGAAAACACAAGTTGAATTGAATTCCTTTTTTGTGTGCAAATTCGCAAAAAAAAATAAACTATTCGAGGGTAATACTATTTCGCCGATTGCGCCTTTATGGCTACTAAAAAGTCTTGTCATGCCTTATTTTTTTTCTTTGTCAATTTAAAATAGAATTCAATGACTAAACTTAGAACACTTAGTTCAGCATTGCATAACTCCTATTAAACTCAATGTGATTATCTTCAGTGTATATGTATGTACATATGTATACTTTGGACTGACCCACCTATCTACATAGGTAAATAATTTCAATTTAAACATTTGTTACTGAAAAATGCAGACTGAATTTGTTTACAAAACATTTGCTTTAGTTTTTCATCAAATACCTTTGATTGAATGTTTATTTAGAAACACTTGTTGCAACTGTTTTCATGCTTTTATTTATTACTATTTATGAAAAACAGATGAAAATACTTTCAATGGCATTTTGTACTGAAACGAACTGCTGTGGCATTGAAGATAAGGCTAAAAGCAAATGTTAGAAATAAAATGTACCTATTAATTGTTTAAATTAATTAGCAAATTTCTCTCAAAAGTTATTTTGAAATAATTATAAATGTTTCATAGAAAATGGCTATTAGTAACAGTAAAGAAACCTAGCCGGTAAGTCCTGCTTGGCAGCTTGGCAAAAAGCTTGTAATTTCAGCACGAGATATATGCTTTCTAAAATAACCAATTTTGGCAATGAACCGAATGCAACATCAAAATGTTCGACTGGTATATTGAGGCTATGTCTTGCAAACATAATTCCTTCAATCCCTTTCGAGTCTATTTAGCTTTTAAAGTGAAACTTCTTTGCGTTCGGTTGGGTTTAAATCCTAACACCTATGAAACGAAAAAGCGACAGGTGAAGTGAAGGCAAATCGGGCGTGGAGGGGCGCGATTAAGATTAAAATTAAAATTCGGATTGAGATTAAGTTATTTTTTATTATTTCGCCGAAATATTTTTTTAAATATATTTATTCAATGCATCACCGGTTTTAAGCGCATCTCAAACGCGGAGTGAGGAACACATACATATACATATGTATCAGTATTGAATTACCTCTAGGTGGTTCTATGTTATGCTCTTTCTGAAATTTCTTACTATTTATTCTAGCAGAAATAAATGTGCTCGTCGTCCCTAATTGTATGCTCAACACTGAACCAACATTCAGATTTGTAGTGAAACAGTAGCTGCTTATATTTCCTGTATAGCGGCTGAACAGACGGGCGTTACTTTTTTATGTACCCTTAATACGATTGACCATTTTTTATTTAACTGCGATAACTTGGCTTTTATGCCTCTATCTTGTTAATTTTAGTGTTTAGCCAGGCTCCTCTTCCAATTTCTACACACATCATTACATATCTCGATTGCTATGGCCAGGTCGATAGTGATTCTGCATTTGAGATTAGTCCGCCTACATGTTTACTATTAATTGCTAATCTGGACTTCTCCTCAACTTGTGACAGCCGGAAACTCAGATTATTATATATCTTATCTTTGCGAGTGTCCAGCACTTCGAGGAAAACGCCTCAAGTGTCTTGGGGACCACTTCTTCGAGAATCTGGATATCTTGGGGAAAGCTCCTCTGGAAGGACTGCTAGGATTCGCCAGAAAATCAAAATGGTTCGAAGACATGTAGGGATAGGCTTGTGTTAACCCCCATGGGTATCACAATGGGCCTCTGCGGACTCCGAGTGAACTCTTTTTCAGAGCTGCCCGTTTAACCTAACCTAACCTAACCTAACTCGACTCCGCCAGTTGTTTGGCAGACCCTTTCGTTTGCTTCCTCATCTGTCAAAACGTTACTATTCCCTGCGCCTCAGTAAATATTGACGATATGTTGTCTAAGAGATGGTCGGTATTTTCGACACTGCTTAACTCATATCAAGTTAGTCACTGGCGAATTGAGCGCCTTAATTCCACCCTGTCTATTTATAACAACCACGCAATTTTTAATGAATAAAATCTTTCCTGCTTACCGGCTTTGCATAGCCTCAGCCTGAAAGTCATCACTGTTATCTCTCCTATGAGTAACTTCGGTGTCGCGGCCGAAGGCGATCTGCATTATCAGATGATCAGGCGCTCTCTTTTTAAATGCAAGACAGCGCCCTTTTTCTGCCTCCGACGAAGATTTTTCGCTTTACTGCATATCATTTGTATTAGACGTTGCAGTCTCCTACGCTTTCGTTCACAATTCTTGGCTGCTGGTGATGATGGCTTGCTTTACCTGGCGGTCCCAAACAGACTCTGCAGACCTCACTGAAGGCCTAAACTGAATACGTCTGTACGGATTTTCTTACAGCTTTCTCTCTCCTTCTTCCTATCTAGACCCAAGGATCGACATGGCTTAGTTACCTTATCTGGCGCTGCTCAGAATTGAATGTAGCTACCAAGCAACCGTGAATTCGAACCCAAAACGCACCAATACTTAAGTCACCTCCTCAATTCAAAAGTATCTTGTCTGAAATTAAAACCTCGCGCTTGCAGGTAGGCTTACGTTTTTCCTTATTACCCTTCAGTTAGGTTGAATATGCTGAAAGAGTTCTTAAAAGGCTGAGAAGAAAACAAATTTCATGAAAGTATAACCAAACTGCGAGGCACCAAAACCTGCTTAGTCATGCCGAATAAACAAGTCATTCGCCTTGAACTTACAACACCAAGAAAGAGCGCCCATAAGACACGAATTTAACGGCTCATAAACAAACAATTAAAAATGCAGTAAAAATGTAAAAACAACCAGCAAAATTAGGCATCGTCTAATAAAACGTAGGCTTGGCACAAGAACTTAGCAAACGAAATGAAAAACTTGAAACTCTTACAATGAGGCAATAGAAGAGTATAAAAATAGAATTAGGCAGTACAAAGAATAAGATAAACACTGGCAAATAGCAGCTCACTTTGTGTAGCGCTTAGGCGCAGCCGGTGGGCTTAGTGGCTTCCTTCCATTCCACCGCTTTGCCAAGCGCAAAAAGCCGCACTTAAAACAACGGCGTCGAACTTGCAATATGTTTGAGCTCAACATGTTGCTGGCAACATCTTTGAGTTTCTTCTTCGAGCGGCTTTAGTGCTCACTACAAACTGGGCTTAGTACAGCGAACAGTTTAAGCCGAAACCTGGACGAGTTAACAACGATGAGCGGTTGAAAATGGAATTTTTTATTGTTCAATAAGTGTTTAGTCCAATTAAAAAAACAGCATGACAAGCATAAATGAAAGCAAATTAAAACTAAACTATTTGCGACGCATTTGAGTAAAAAATTAAGCTTGATAAAAAATTTTAATAAATGAGTGTTAAAAGTTTACGAATAAAAAAGTGCGTTTATAAGTTTCAAAATACCCTCGTCGTGGTATTCATGCCGCTGGGCATTTAGCTTCAAATCTTTTTTGTTGCTTCATAAGTTTACTTTGTGTCCGAAAAAAGTTTTCATCTGTCTCGTTGTGATTTAGAAATTTTATGTAAATCTCGAAATAAACGTATTTTTTTGTTTATTGGATATTAAGTGATAAACAAAAAATTTACGCGTGCAAAATTTAAATACGAAATCGATAAAAATAAAGATAAATAAAATCGCCCAACATTACGTGTATGTGGTGTGTGAATATGTGGCGCCGCACAGGCGCACACCAAAGTGCAAAGTGTAATTGTGGTTCAGTAAAATTAAATACCAGACTGTGTAGCCAAAAAGAATAAAAAATATGCAAGCTTCAAAGCAATAATTGTGCATAATTAAAGTTTTCTAAGTGCAAACAAATTGGCGCTAAAACAATGCCGCTGAATAAAATGCAGCGCAAGCCTTCCAACGAAACACTCGCCAGCCTAGCGTTTGACAGCACGCTAGACTCGCGCATGTCCAGCGCGGAAATACCGCAAATGGAGCTGCTGAAAGTCAACTATGTGCAGCAGTGCAAGGAAGTGCGCATGCCGCGTCCTATCTCCGCAACACAGCAGCAGCGGCAGTCATTTATAGCTCAGAACGGCACGAAATATCCCGGCTATAAGCAAGCGGTTACCGCAAGCAGTCATAGCCAATTCGCCAATGGTGCCAAGTTGAACATCGCCAATGGAGGCAAAGTGCAGCCCCCTACTGACCATCAGCGCGTTGCACCCTCTAAGGGCAAGTTGGTGCGCGGCACACAACAACCGCTACCGCCGCCCACGGTGGAGTCATGGAAATTTCTGCAGCATCAGCTGCCACAAGTAAAGCCGCAAGAGCTTCGTTTGCCACTCATGCGCGCCAAGTCCGCTTCTGCCGTAGTTGCTGCGGCCACCGCCACTGCTGACGCCGACGAACGAGATTACGCTGATGCACGTTCGTGCTGCAATTCCTCCTGCGATTCTGCTACACACTCATCCGACTCATCAGATGACGATGATGGCATCTCCACTGTTTACCCGGATTGCGAGAAATCGCACAGCTGGAATTATCGTGCGCGCATTTCCACTTGCGATGTACGACGCGATATTGCACGCGCTGGCATTAAGTCGCGCGCTGATCGCATAGCGCGCATTGAGCAGACGGACTGCGATCATCAGCAGCAACGGCCTAAGGCGACAAGTAACGCAGCATCAAATGCTAAACGTGCATCTTTGCCAGCTACTTTGAGGGTAGATAGTAGCGCGCAAATGCCAGCAGTAGTTTCGCAAATCAATCGACTCTTTGAGCAAGCCAAGCGTCCGGAGCAGCGACGCTCCACGAAACAGCATCGCGCGCCTGCGCCGCCGCTATCACAGGATGCAGTATTAACAGCATTTACACCACAAAGTGCATCTAACGCACGAGCACGGCCGCCTGCGCAGCCGCTACGCCCAGCACCAATACCCAAAAAAGAGCCCAACATGCGCATGCGCGGCGCGCGCGAAATGCTGCCCAGCATAGAGGAACGTACGAAACGTTTGAGCAACTCAAGCGCACCTGCAGACTGCCGCGATTGTATTCTGGAGAGTAGCGCCAATGCGAGCGAAGTTCGAAACATGCGCTGCGCAGTAAATGAGGCACGCTTCACACGCTCATCGCCTGAGCAAAGACAACAAGTGTCGCGCATACCAAAGCCCATAAGCGAGCCACAGCAGCAACATCGACACTCCACCAGCTCGGCGCAGGTATACAGCGAAGCGAATGAGCAGCTGCAGCGACGCATACGTCAGCTTTTCGATCCTGAGCAGGAACGCAAGCAGCAGCTGCAGCGGCAGGTTACAGACGAGTTTCGCATGCAGTGCGCTGCCGAGAAAATAAAACTACGCGCCACCAAATCAACGGCGTTTGAGGAGCCGGATAAGTCCAAGCGCGGTAGCGCTGATGCAGACGCGCAAAGCTGCGATGAGCTGGATAAACTTTTGCCAAAACAAGTGCGTCAGCCTGCAGCGGCGAGTTTTCAGAAAATTAAAATGGAGCGCGTGCACATACGCAAGAAGCGACAGCCGCTGCTCATAATCAATCAACTTAACGAGGGCAAGCCGGCAAATAATGATAAAGTGAAGGAAGAAAGCGAGCCACTGAGGACGACGAAATGTTGTGCCACGCCGCATAAGGTGTCAAAGGAAGCCGCGCATAGGTCAGCTCCGGACGGCAGCCGACGCACCTGTGGCTACAAGAACTGCAACTACACTAATTGTCCCATGTCGGCGACCAGCAATGCAGGCAGCAGCAGCGGCGTCAGCACACCGCACAACTCCGATGAGGAGCTGAGCGCGCGCAAGCGTCTGTCGCTCGAGAGCTGCTGCTCCGATTCCGGCGTGTCATCGTCCACAGATCTGAAGGAGCGCCATACCAATCAGAATAATATGAAGAACCTGGAGAAGTGTGCGGACTGTGTGAAAATTCTGCTCAACCAAGCGGGCGCGGAGTCAACCGTAATGCAACACTGTCTCAAACTTACGCCTACCGCTGCGGTCGCTGCTGCGACGCCCAAGTTGAAGGAGCTGGACGCTGATGTGGCAAAAGGGGGACAAATTAAAATACGCGTTGGGAAAGCGCCTGGCGGCGATCCAAATGATGTGCAAAATTTCGCAAAAAAAAGTCTTATTAAGGCCACTACGGATGAGTTATTGACGGCGGCGGTGCAAGCAGCAAAAAACAACACCAGCAACAAAGTAGGCGCGGCAGTGGATAAGTTGTCTAACCGGACAGCCAAGGCAAGCGCCAGCAACAGCACCAAACAGTGCAACATCGAAAATGACCTAAAAAATAATGAACAACGCATTTACAACAACACAAATTGCAACAGCAGCAGCCACAACAACAATAAAGACAGCAATAGAAGCGCCAGCGAGCAGATACCGTTATGCGCCACAACAATAAAAATCGATGACGATTGGTTACCCGAGCAAAACGGCTGTGATGCCGACTCGTTGATGGTGCCACCGTCGCCCCCGCTGCGCACCTCATCCAAACACGCACCGCATGCACGCCAACAATTTCACAACAGCAACAATGACAATAAACATGGCAACAGCACTGCCGGCAGCTCCGAAAGTGACAAGCACAGTGTGAAGATTTTCGTGCGTAGCTCAGCATCCAGCAGCGGCGGCGGCGGCGGCGGTGTGGGCGGCAATCAATCGCGCGCTTCGCTAATTTCTATGTGCTCATACACTTCCCAAGCTTCAGGTTGTTCGTCGAATTCAGAAGCTTCCGCGTTGACAAACGCCAGCAAAACGTCCGCATCCGGTAGCTCCTACACAACAATTTCGAGTAGCGCTTCGAGCAGTGGCGAAGCAGGTAAATGCAATTGCCAGCGGGGCAGAAGTGTCAACACAGCTACACATAAAGAAGAAGACGAGGAAATGGCTGGCGAAACAGAGGACACAGATGACTATTGCAGCCTGCGTCGCATGACCAAATCGGGTATTTTCTACAATCGCGCTGCAGACAGAGAAGGTACCGAAAACGATACGCTACGCGTATGCGCTGCATCGCCGACACCATCGGCGGACACCTTCAACGAAATCAGCTGTGTCGCATGCGGCGAAGAAGCGAAATGCTGCCAAGCTAGTATCAGCAGCGGGACGATTGGTGGTGTGTTTTTGAACAACTCTTACTTTCAACAAGAAGCCGAGCTGGTGACGGCGGACGCTAGCAAGTCGACCCATAAGAACGGATCTGAGTTGAAGGCGCGTACGCCAATCGACAAAATCGAGGGCCATTGCGATGATAATGAACAATGTTGCTGCAGTTTGACCAGCTGTGACGATGACAATTGCTCTTATTATGAATGTGGCGGCAGCGGCGGTGACGGCAGCAGCGCTGGTGAGCCCCAAACTGACGATGATCATTGCGTATCGCGTATTGAGGTGCATGCAAGCGTACACACGCCCAGCAGTAGTAGCGGCAGCAACGGCAGCGGTTGCAGCAAAATTGAAGGCAGCGATAAGCGTGGCGCCGATAACAGCCTTGCGGTGACTAGTAAGAACAAAAGCGCCGATTGTGAATGTGTGCAGCACCACTGTCGCGCAGCGGCAAATTCTACTTCCAAGGACAGCAATGCGCTTGAGGCAGAGCGTCAGCACGTGCGCGAGCGTGAGCGCTGTGCAGCGCGTCAACAACAGCAACTAGAACAGCAGTGGCTGTGTCAGCGCATGAGCGAACGTGAACGCGATCGGCAAATGCAGTTTGTGCGAAATAGCAGCGCAGAGGAGATTTTAATACGTAATAAACACTTTTTGAGGAAGGTAAGTTGGAGGTGAAGAACCTGCGCGTCGATAGAAGATACATAAATGTAGTTAGTTTTAGCCTGTAAAATTGCTTTGTAATAATTTACTTGCGCTACCGAATTTAAAACCAAACTAGGTATGTGGCGCGGTATGTTACGCTAAGCGTACATACATACATACAGGTGCTTTGAACGCGCAAACCTATAATTAAGTTAATTAAGCGCGGAAGTTGTTTTGGTTATATAAACGGATGATTGTGATTGTGTGCGTGTGTATGTGTGTGCCGCGCGTTCAATTCCCAATTCATGTGTTTTATTTTTTCGATACACATATATTTTCTGCTTGAATGCGCATTGCGCTGAGGAGCGCGTCGTATCTGCGGATTAGAGTACGAAATGTTGCTATGCAAAAACAAACACAAAGAAGAAAGTTCGACTGTATTTCAAAACAGTTCTGCCCTGAGGGCAAATATTGCGTAAATTTATTATTTTTGGCATGTATTAATATGTATTTGGAACTGATCGGTATATATATACAAATATTGCGTCATATCAGTGATGGAAAAGTATCCACTAATATTGTGATTTTTTCACGCTTTTTATCCCTATCGACACTTTAGACTCAATCGGCTCATTTCTGCACTGCATATTTGGCGAAAGTTCAAAGTTATTATTTGTTATTTGAATATAATATATGTACTTGTATGTACTTAAGTACACTGGTAGTAGCAAATGTTTTAACACACGAAAAAAAAATATTTTTCAATTTTGTTTCTCTCTTATTGGTTACCTTTTATCTTCTTCAATCATCGTACTCGCTCAAAAAGCTGTCTCCTTCTTTCACGGCTACATGTAATAAGCGAGAAATTTAGCTCCACTGCTCGTCTCTGTCGATTTGTTTAAAACTGCCTGATTCCTTCACATCATGAGATCTCTAAGTTAACTCACAACTTACATTCCGGTCCTATTTTTGAAGAGTTACGATCGGCTTTCAAGGCCTTTTGCTATCAGTCCTTCCTTCCTTCTAGTCTTACGTCTTTCCGGAGTAAAAGTTAACAGAACCCAGTAAATTTACTCTTAATAATAACAGGTCGAACCTGTGGATCGTGGATGAAATTCCCAACAGCAGCGGAAAATTGAAATTGTTTTAGACTTAGTATAGCCAAGGCCGGATAATCACACAGGATGTGCTTCAGGACAAAGACGGCATTTCGTCTCTTTTCAATGCAGTGCATGTGAGAGCACATATTGTTATGATCGTCTAGGTAAATAGACTGTAAGCAGCCTGATGCTGGATCTATCCAAAAAAAACAGTTAGAGAGTCTGGTATGTCTAAAGTCGTCTACATATTAGTTTACCGAGATGTGTCACAAACCCAGCGCACAACCAAAGCCTGGATCAATATTTGTCGAGCCAGCTCCAAGGCAGACACTCCCATGCAGTCTCACCTCATGTTGGATAGATGCGGCTGACTTTAGTGAACCCTTAAACCGATAACGTCTGAATGGCCTCACTTAAGCTCCCTCTCTTTCTGCCTTTATCCAACTCTCCACACAGGTTAGTTAAGGCCATCTCGCATATGGATTGCCAATGCTACCTAGGAGGACGCAAGATCAGGAATTGAGTATTGTGCAGCAACTGTAACTTCATACCTTAAGCTTCACTATACTGCTTTGAACTATGTGAGTATTTAATGTCAAGTAGTTGAAGTTATAATTTTTAAATGGGATCACCATTTTAGTCGAATATATTAAACTTTACACTATCTCAAGCCCACTGGTAGTAGTCATATTTGATTCGCATTTGCCTGATATGCAGGGACAGGATTCTGTTAAAAATTCTACGGTTTACTTTGGAATAGGGTTTTGTTAAGAGGGTCGCAACTTTTCCAGAAACCTCTGCCCCATAAGCTTGCATCCAATTTTCCCTCGCTGAAGTGAATGTTAATGAGCGCATCGTAGTAGACAGAATGTTTTGATAACAGATCATATAGTACTCTATCGTTGTGTGTGTGTGTTGATTGTGATTCTGCAACCGTTTTGTCTTTTTTTTATATATCTTTCGATGCTTGTCATTGATCGATCTGAGCTTTAAATTATATTTTGAGTTGCTGAACGTACGGTTTTCGATTATATTCTTAACCTACATATATTCTAGGGTAGTTGAAAATCATTTTTAAAGGGGAGTTTTGCATCAACGTCACTCCTCAATTGGGCGTTAAACTGAAGTCAAGGCGTTTATTGATTAATGAACGCGATCGTGTAAACGCGTGATTAATATAACTTTTAAAAGGAGACGGCAACTTATCAAACTTATATATTTTCGATCAATATTTTATTTAGGGGGCAACTCTGTTTAACAACATTTTCTGATCTTTTTTTTTTTGATTTTTAAATTTTAAATTATCTTAAACTTTTCTTTTGATACAAAATTTTAAATATGTTCTTTGATTTATAAATTAAATTGTGTTAAACTTATAAAGTAATATATCAATTCTAATCAGAAACATAAACTATAAACTTAAAAAATACTTTTAACTCCTCTTTGAAACTATTTCATAATTTGCTAAGATGATAACTAGTCACACTGAACTACGACTGACATAAGAGGGGTTTTCCAAGTCAACCATGCTTATATAAAAATGTGCTGTATATTTTTAATTCATATAAACATAAACATTAGACTGCATCACTCCCCATACAAAAAAAAATCGGTACTGTGTCTTCATTTGAAGTATAAAATCTATTATATTTTAAGACGTCCCCCAAAATATTTCGGAAAAATATTAAGATTTACGTAAGCTGGACCGATTTGAAAAAACCTCAAAAAATGGAGTTTTTTATTAATAAAAATTGTTTGTTTTCTCACCCTTTTTTCCCTTGCCCAATAACCTCATTCAAATGATGGAAGAGAAAGGTAGGATGAACGAAAGTCATTCCAAATTTAATCACTTTTATTGCACAGAAATAAAAAGAGGGGAAAAGAACTTTCCACTGATACCATATACATACGTGTCTGAATCGAAATAATTTTGGCCCAGTTAATCAAAAAAAGTTAAAAAACGGCATCAAAAATCTCAATATTACTATTCCGGTGAGTAGATTTTTAAATTTTTGTATGCAGGTTTTTAAAGCTTAACCTGTTTTGTCATCTGAGGAAATTTTTTAAAAAGGTGTTTACGAAACTATTTCTATTCATAAAAAAAAATAAATTTTTGGAGCTATTTTCAAATCCGTGCAGCTCACGTAGATCTTTATATTTTTTCGAAATATTTTGGTGGACTATAATAAGTTTTATAATCCCGGCAACATTTTTTGGTAACACAGTCTAATGTACCTAAATATCTATTACACCGTTACTTTTCTGGAATTCTTTACTGCAATTAACACAAATGACTTAAAGAGTTGCACCTGTTGCCGGCGTGCATATGCCGTACTTAAACGTTACGAGTACTTTAATTTAACAAAATTTATCACCTTCAACTATGCAAATCAATCGGCGTATTCGAGCAGGTTTTACTACTTTTACTAAAAGCCAATCGTCTGGGATAATTAATGAAGTGCAAAAGCGTGTGTGAGCTTGCGTGGCAGAACTAGATATGGAATGGATAAAATGTCGAAATATTTATGTTTGTGTGCATAGGTGCGTTCAAATTGCGATTATAGCAACCTGTTTCCAAAAAAGAAAATTTAATTATGACAGTAAAAAAACTCTAAATGTGGTTATGCGACACATCTGAATTAAAAATGAGAACAGCACGCCAATTTAAAAGCCACGAAAGTTATGCAACATTCGGTGTTGTTAGCTTGGCGCATCGACACTGTACAGCAAATTTTTAAAAAAATTTTGAGTATGAATTGTCAGAAAACACCAAGCACTGCTTTGCTGTATTTTTACAGGAACTTTTTTTCATGCATATTTTTACATTTTGGCCCGCCGAAAGTTTAATTTAGATTTTCGTATCGACAAATACTTTTAATATTTACCTGTTCAAATGGACGCAGTACCGCGTACAACAGCCATTGTCAACTTTGGATCACATCCTTATAAAGTTTTTTATTTCAAGATAGGTTGGTTTAAAAGGCGAGTTTAACAACTCCAATTAGTACTTATGCAGACCGTTTTAAAATTACTTTTCGCAATTTAACCTGAAAAGAAAGACAACACTAAAATTACAGAAATCGATTATTTCTCTCCAATCCAGGCCGTAGAGTTCAAGAACCTAAGAAGCTGATAATAATAAAATAATTTGGCGCTTTCACAATATGTTAGTGATAGGCCGAGTTTCTTCTCCGGCCGCTGTGGTGTACTGGTCAACAGTGCGCGCTAAAATTCCGCAAGTTTTTTGTTTTAATAAGGGTGCCTCTCGGCAGGCAATGGCAAATCTCCCATTGTATTTCTGTCATGAAAAATAGTTTCTCTTAAAAATACAATCGCTGTTCGGAGGCGGCAGAGAGCCAAGTGCCTTGATCGCTACCTAGCTATACGGGAAAATAGCAATGCTAGCCTCTGCTAGCTTCGAGGCTAAAATTCGATGACAAAGACCTCTGCCTCAAAAACACTGGCTGAATTCGGCAAACACTTCGATTTGGAGGTCAGTCGAAAAAATTCCAAAAAGCCCAATGTTAACCCACTTTTCCAAGAACTTAATATTAAGGATATTCAGATAATTCGATATGCGGTAAATTTCACAATTTTTTTTTTTGTACATTAGGGTGGTGCGGAAAAAATTTTAATAGCGAGGGATCGTTGTTGCTTTTGGATGTCAATTTCTAAAATATTCTAAAATCGGCTAATATTTTCTGTCTCCCCTTTTTATTTTTTTATATAAATTTACAAAAATTTTTGGTATACAGTTTTAAGGCCACTAGAATTTAGCATAATATAGTGCAAGTTTAAAGTAGCTAGCAAATACTGCTGATTTTTGGAAATTTTTTTTTTTTGTTACGCATTTCATTCCATACCAATATGTTCGACAATGTTTTTGTATGGAGAAAATAAGCAACACCTTTAACAAAA